CGATTCACAATTTGCGTTAGAGGTTTCCGGGGGCTTTTAACTAAACGCTTAATTTTACCTAAATAATTTTCGACCCAAAATGCAGATAAATCACTCAATGGAACTTGAAAATACTCTGCATCATCCGCGACATGAAGTAAATAATGCATGTTCAACACTTACGATTTCTCTCCGTACAATGTCGGTAAAAATGTAAAAAAATTTCGTAACAGTAACCGCGCGTAATCAATTTGGGATTTTATTAAGTTTTTATCTTGCAAAATTCTACATGCTACAAAAAGCAACAAATAATGTTCATAATTTTGTTTTTCTAATACATTTTTTAAAACTATACATCAAAATACATCAAAAATAAACAATATTGTGTAGCTTTCCAATTGCATAAATCAAATATATCTAAGCGTGTTCTGGTAAATTCAGCGGGTATTGTCGTCTTTAAAATTATTAAATTATCGCGCAATAAATTAATTTTATATTTTCTTAACCGAAAAATACTAGATTTTAAAACCCATTTCTGCAATAAAAATTTTGCGACGCCGAGAAATAGCAAGTGCATAGAATCTATTACTACTTCTTTCACCGGATCGAAATATATTAATTTGATAAGCGGTGATTCTAATTGTTCTAAATGGTGCCGTTTTTGTTCCTTATTCATAAAAGAATTAATATTCCTCTTCTGAGCATCAATTTCCGGATATACGCGAATTTTCTTGTTCCCAACACCTACTGTCACACCTTTTGTCACACATCATTCACACGCGAAAAAACCTCCAGGTGATTTTGTGCATTTTACAAAAGCCCTTGCTTGGGAATCAGCAATTATTGATGATAACTTGTAATCGAATTTATGGTTCTTTAATATTACTCCATTATTACTTAAATTATTTGAATCATTTACAAAATCATTCAAAAATAAGTTAACATCAGCTGGTTTCGAGTCTCCGCAAAAAATTTTGGCGATGAATGGATTATATGTACACGAATCACTTAACACTTTCACTAAAATAGGCTACATTGTAGTGTTCGAATTATTGAATAATTGCATTCTGTCTATATGCACGAGTATTTTAATTTGCTTTTCTTTATAATTAGAATTTATAATATTTTCCAGTCCATTTTTAATACCTAAATAAATGTAACTTCCTTCAGTATTTTTGAAACTTAACATGGTTTGTAATGTTCTCTTATGATTTGTACCCAGTAAAGTTTGCGCTGTTTTGGGCAAAGTGGAATGACCAAACATTCGTAATATCACTAATAATTCACTAATCATATTTAACCTTAGTGTATCTAAATGTTTTATTTCCTACTTCAAAATATAATCATTGATATTTAAACCATTGACGAAATTTTGCGACATTATGAGAATCAGAAGAAAATATAAAATATAAGAAAAAGTAATAATATTTTGGATGTGCACATGAAATAACAGAGCTTTTATAACTGAACTGATCGATCAAACCATGTACTTGCATATTATACATTAATATTATACCTGTGAGAAAAGCTCAAGCAAATTTGGGTCACACAGGTATGTAACATCTAACATAATATAATTAGAAAAATTTCCGTTCAAAATGCGTCATAGTATCTAATATTACGAATATATGTATATTAGTTAATATTATACCGGCATATTACAGTCGTTATGATCTAATATTTGTTGAAAACATTTAATTTTTAATTTTCATTATATAATTTGTTTAATATAAATCATGCAGTTTAACAACAAAACTAGTGGGGCGCAAGGCATCGTGCCTTAAGGCAAATTGCTGGAACTTCCCGTACCAAAAATTATTATTTTTTTAAAAAGATTAACATTGTTGAAAAAAAATTACGTCGAAAAAATTAGATTTTTGAGAAACTAAAGTAGTTAGAAGGCTAGGAAAAAAGGGCGATAAACCACGACCCACTCTGATATCCTTCTCAAATCTCAGCACTAAGATAAATATATTGAAACAGAAAAAAGCACTGCGCGACACGTGCTACTATATGAAGGAAGATTACCCAAAACAGATATTAGAAAAAAGAAGACAATTACAAGAACAGCTGAAAATAGAGAGAGAAAATGGCAACATGGCTTACCTAAAATATGACAAACTAGTCATACCTAAACAAACATCCAAAAGAAAGTTTTTTGCATCGCCATCAAAACGCACAGAAGAAATGTCAAAAGGAAGAATTACACAGACAAACAAAAAAATAAGCCACAACATCAAGAAATACCACTGAGAAGATCTAACAGCATTACCGAAGGAGTAAACAAACCGAGCATGCTAAATTTCCTTACAAAAAATACAGCACAGGGACAAGAAACTACAAAAAGCAACGCGTAGCAAACAGCTGCTCCTCTCCATATAAACCCAACGAACTACTATTCAACGAAACATAACATAACAATATCCTTCAACCCGGTTGGTCACCGTGGAGGATTATGACCACAACCCTCCAAAGAAAACTATAACACCAAGCAACAAAAGCAACAATAAAAATTGCTTACTTAAAATACTTACATTCAATGTCAAGACTCTATCAACTTACGAACGACAATTAGAATTAGAAAATTGTTTAAGCGCTATAAACTACGATATAATGGGAATTTCAGAGGTAAGACGTCAAGGTCGTGAAATTAAGGAATATGATAACTTTATTCTTTGCTATATAGGACAGACAGCGGGTCAATACGGAGTAGGTTTCATAATAAACAAGGAGATAAAAAAATAACATAGAAAGCTTTATTGGTATATCGGAGCGTTTAGCCATACTCAATATAGACATAGGAGGTCATACGATATCCATTCTTCAAGTCTACTTGCCTACGTCAGATGCAGTAGAAACGGATATCGACGAATTATATGAGTCAATTGAGGAAGCATTAAAAACGGCGCACAAACACCTATGGGTGACTTCAACGCGAAGGTGGGCACATCAAAAAATACCAGGAATTAGTCGTGAAAGAACATGGCTTTGACACAAGGAATAACAGGGGACAGCAACTTGTTGACTTTGCACTCATACACAAGCTAACAATAGTAAATACCTGCTTTAAGAAAAAACCAAACCGTAAATGGACCTGGAAGTTGCCGAATGGACATAAAAACGAGATTGATTACATTCTCACAAACCAAATTTGATCATTTACAAAATTCGAGGTCTTAAACCTGAACTACCCATCTGACCATCGCGCCATCAGAGGTGCAGTAAAAAATATCTAAACATAAACCAAGCAGAGCGCGTTTCACCAATAAACCAGTTTGTCAATTCAATAGTGCAAAGGAAATAGAAATCTATAAGAACCATCTTAAATCTACATTACCTGTGCTAGCAAATCACCAAGCAAGGGATATGATACAAAACTATTACGATACCATTAGTAACGCTATTTTTAGAGAGCCAACAACTTACACATACCAAGAACGTTGTGAGATGCACAGATAAAAGATGGTCAAAGAGAGCAACATCGTGGAATGGTCCAGCGGGTAAGCGTAATCGTGGAAGACCACTAACCAGATGGGAAGACGACCTGAGACGAACAGCTGGCACGATCTGGAGAGATATTGCACAAGATAGAGAAGCATGGGCATCTTTGGAGGAGGCCTATACCCAACCCGGGGTTCTTGCCGACTAATATTACATATTACTATAATAAATATTAATATTACATATTAAACTATAATAAATATTAATATTACATATTACTATAATGTTCTGTATATACACGCTTATGTTAGGTTAGTATAATCATGATATAAAAATTTGTAAATAGGCAAGAAATAAAAGGCTTATTTATTTATTTATTTTATTTATTAAATTAATTTATGAGTGATTAAAAGTATTCCAAGTGAACACATTAACTCGGAGTATTTTCTAGAAGCAAATTTTCAAAAATCAATAATTTTTATAATTGAACCAGTTTCCGTAGGACTTTAGTGGGTTTAGTATGTTCATTAAGACCATGTACTCTATCGTTATACCAAGTAAATCGTCTAATTTTAATTTTAACAAACGTCAAAAAAACTACTCATTTCCTCAAACTTTGATTCAAACTACTTATCGTAAGGCCGTAATATTTTAGTAAGTTCTATAAGATTTCATGATATATATCGCCAAAAAAAGTTCCATAAAAATCAGCTTAATTTTTTTTTTCAACAGTTCATTACAAGAAAACGACTCAGTAGATTTTCACCTAAAACTAATCAGTATCATTCCCAACTAATGTCTTTCGTACAGTTTTTGATTTTTTAAAATCGATTCGGTAGTTTGAGCTTAAATGTGGACGTAAAGTTTAACACTTTTTTCATATTACAAAGAAACGGTTTGGCAGATTGTCGTATAAAACTAAAGTTAAATGATAGTCCTCATTGAGATACATCAAATGGTTTTTAAATTTCTGAAATCGGTTAAGGCGTTTCTGAGAAAACGTCGATCAAACTCTAATTTTGACAAATGCCAAAAAAACGATACTAATTTTTGCAAACTTTGACGGATTTTTAAAGTTAAACGAGTTGTCGTAAGGCCGTAATATTTCAGACTGTATCAGACTGTGGTATCTACCGTTCTGCAATTTACAAAGAAACGGTTCGGCCGATCGTAGCGCAAAACTAACAAACGATAGTCCTCATCGAGATACAGCGAATTTCTTTTAAATTTTTGAAATCGGTCTAGCCATTTTATAGAAAACGTTAGAAAATCGTTTTTCCAAAGTTAGTCTTACTCTATTCAGAATGGCTTGAAACGTCGAGAAAACATAAAATTAGCGGATCGAATTTGTTTACTTCTCCTTCGGGAAGTTAATAAGTGATAATTTATCAAGCAAATCAATTATTGCTCGATATCACAAATATTTTCCAGTTTTAAAATGTGGTTTCTATCCTTCATGTAATATTCAAATGTTTTTAAACATTATGTGAGCTATGTATTACCTACTCATTAATATGAATATTGCTTTTACAATTCTTTTTTCATTACTTAATATTGATATAATTTTGTTACCTTTTCAGCTATGCAACTGCACGATTTCAGTGAAATGCAAGCATTTCCGACTAAGCTGCGTTATATGTGCATCTGTCTATCCGAGGTCATTTTTATGGAAGGCTTTATGCGAAAAATTTACAATTTCATTAATGGCCTTGAAATTTTACATCTTATTGGTACTTATGAGAAAGTTGAGGAAGAGGAGGAAGAAATTTATGAAGTTATCAATGTCCACAAACTCAAAGGAGCTACGCCAAATCTTAGAGTTATCAACTTGTATGGCATTAATTTTGTTGATGATTCTCACATTGATGCTTTCAGCTCAAACTGTATACAAGTAAGTACGATGTTGCATCATGATATAATATTAACAAATTAAAAGATGTAAAGACAAATATACTTACTTTCATAATACTATGCCATATTAGAAGAAATTTTCAAAATTCTAAAGTTATTCAAGTTCATAATTCGAATTTATAGACTTATTTTGAATTAAAAATATGATTTTGGCATACTTTGTCAAAACTGGGTGTATGTGTGTTTGTATGTATGCGTGTGATATGTACGTATGTGCAAATACAATTTTTCTCTGATGTTTTCGGGAGCTCGGATCATCCGATTTGCGTTAAATATATGTGTATATAACGTTATAGATGAATCTAAGATAGAACTAATAATGCATATCATAAAACAAATCAATAACGAAAACTAAAGTTGACATTTTTACCCGCGGCCCTCTAACTCCAGCTTTATCATATACTTATATTAATTTAAAAGAGTGTTACGATAATTGACCAGTTATTGATCAGTTTAAAAATGATTACTGAAATTTCTAAGTATGGTAGGAATGTGAAAATCGAGGATGCATGTAATTCTCGCATAAAATTAACTCGTAATAAAAAAAATTGATCCAATACATTTAAAAATAAGTGTTAGAGTTGGACAGCCGTTAATAAATTATTTTTATGTAAAACTTGAATTATTATAAGCTCAAAAAATCGCTAATAAAATTCTTTTTTTTGTTTGTTTTGTTTTGTTTTATTTGGCCTTCAATATCAATATAGCCACATACAATATTATATAAACAAAACTTATATATTAATACTACTTAATCTAAAATAATTAAACAAAATACTATAACATTTTACATTTCTTATTATTGTAACTTTTAATTGATTGGTTTTCCTATACAACTACACTCATGCAACTTGTTCAATATATCTTATCTGTACATCTCAAACAGGCCACACTCCAATATTAAATGTTATCTACTTTCAACGGATTCACCACACCTACATACATTCGAAAATGCAACTCCTATCCGATGCATGTGTGATGGAAAGCTTCCATGATTTAGTCTTAATCTGGTTAATGTTACTATGGGTCTTCTATCCTTCAATTTGAAATTTTCTTGACACATTCTCCTTCCCACTGTTAGATTGCATATTCTATAATAGGCCCCTCTAGTCTCATTTGGATCGGTCCATTCTTTTGCCATTCTTTAAAATTTCTATTTTTACACTGTTTTACATAATCATTGTATGTTTCTACATGCAATAATGATTCATTTTTTGTTGTTTTTTTTGCTCTTCTGTCTGCTATTTCATTTCCTCTGATTCCTGAGTAAGCCCTAATCCATATTATTTATATTATTTTAATGCTATACCCTACTCTTATTAGCCTATCAATATCAAAACACACTTCATAGAATAATATATCTGATGGCTTAGTTTTGTTGTATAAATCTAGTAGGGTTTCTATACTATGTTTACTGTCGATGAATATAACGATCTTCATTATTTTGTGCTCTTCAACTCTATTAAAAACTGAATCAAAATCGGGCAGTTTATAGCCCAATTTAATGTCCAAGTTTTCCATATATATTGCACCACCTACTTTATCATCAATTATATGTTCATCAGTGTAAATTAAATTATAACTTCTTATTTTTGACATATTTATATTAAAAACATTATCAGAAATGCTGGCTATATCCATATAATGTATATTATAATATGGGTGTTTAGTATAATTGATATTAACTAGGCATGATTTTTTTTTCGATTTTTTCAGTTATTACACATTGTATTGTCTATTGCAACCTCACCTACTTTGGCAATAATTTGATTATCCTGTATTATCATTTTTTTAAGTATAAATTTATCACAAATAAACTGTCGTCTTAATTATAAAGGCTTCCCACCACTCTCCACCAACAGGGCATTAGTGGGAGTGGAGCGCTTTACCCCCATTCATATTCTCAAACAGTTATATTGAACTTTGTCCAATACTTTATTGTGAATCGAATTAATAAATACAATACATCCATATACAAAAATGGATCTTATTAGTGTTTTATAGAGGTTCATGAACGTAATAGGCTGTGAACCCGACCATGTACCATTCTCAAAATATTTATACTTTTTTCTACTTTTTTAATCACATGATCTGTGTGGTGTTTGAATGATAACTTTTGATCAAATTTAACCCCTAAGAATTTGTTATATGTTTGTACTTTAATGTTATATTTACTATTTATCTTATCTACATGATTAACATTTCTGTGTCTTGTATAAATACAAATTGAAATTTTATCATCCGATATTCCCAGCCCTTTCTCTTCCAGCCACTCATGAAAAAGATCAATATTCTACTCATTACCTCACAAGCTTATTGCAGACTTGATTTTTCTACATAAATTACCACATCGTCCGCATACAGCAGTATTTTTGTTCCTGGTTCTAAGATCCCTTCTATGTCTCTCACGTATATCGCATATATTAAATGCCTTAAAATACCCTTTATATATTTTCCTTGGTCTAATTATTTTACCATTGATTCTAAAATATACTTTCCTTTCAAAGATATTATTAGTAACTGCCTTAATAAAAGTATATGGTAATCCAATCTTTGCCATAGTTTCTGATAATGTTTTAGATAAAACATTATCGTATGATCGTATGCACCCTTGATATAACTAAAAAGTGCCACAACATACTTATTTTTCGCAAAGGATAAATGATAGTCACTAATAAAATTACTTAAGCTATCCTGTGTTCCCATACTCTTTCTAAAGCCAAATTGACTTTTCGGTAGTTTTCCATATTTTTCACTCCACCACTCCAGTCTTCTTTTAAACACGCTATTTTTTACCTTTGAAACACAAGATGCAAAAGAAATCGGTCTATACGTGGAGATCTTATTCGCATATCATTATTAGCTTTTTTGATTAAAATTGCAATATACTTATTCCAGGCCCCAATTACTTTCGGATTTGTCCATACTTTATTAAACAATTTTAGCAAAATCTCTTTTGCCACCATTGACAAGTTTATGGGCTTAGAATAAAATATTCCATCCATACCTTGTGCGGTATCGGTACTTTTAATTAAAGCAATTCCCAATCCCCACAATGTGAAAGATTTCACTAATAGGAATGTTTTGCGTCCATAAAACTTTTTATCCACATTGAAATAATTATTTCTAACACTAGCTAAAACATAATAATCAATAATATTATCAATCTTATTCGGATTAATATTTTCTTGGAAACTTTCAGGTTCTATATATTTTTTCAAACATTTGATCGTTTTAAATTCTTTCTCACTATCTCTCTTCTTTCTGCTGAATATCGTTCTGATTTCAGCATTAATATTTTTACATATTAAATAATTATTGAAGTTAGATTTCTGCCTATAGTTTTTTCTGCGTGTTTTCTATTTCTAATTAGTTCATCGTACTCATGATTCCATCAAATAGGTTTAAAGTGTTTAATATTGTAACATATTTTTTACTTTTCTCCGCTGCAATATTGATTATGTTCATAAATTTTGTGTAAGCAATAACTGGGTTATTTACTTTAAAATCATTTGAGTAATGCTCGATTGCTTTTTGATATTTTATCTAGTCGGCAGCTTTACAATTCCAATATTGCCTAGTTCTATTTATAATGGGTGTTTCTCTTAGTTGCATAACGATTGGATAATGAACAGATCCAAGAGAATCTTCCCTGACATTCCATACAATTTTATATGCCACTTCGTGTTACACAATGTAACGTCTACCACTGTCGAATTATTCTTAAATTTTAAGGTCCGATTCCCATCATTTAAAATAATTAAATTATTGTCATTAATAACTTCCAATAAATTATTGCCAATCTTATCATTCCAATTTATCCCCCATGCCATATGATGTGCGTTAAAGTCACCACAAGTCAAGAAAATTTTGGATATCTGACTTAATAAACCATTCAATTGACTAACAGACATAGAGTAGTTTGGTACAATACATACCGCAATTATAGATAGTTGATGTTTTCCTACACAAATTTCCACCCCAGATATTTAAAATTTATTTACATCAATTGTTCCCGTATTAATAGCTAATACCTCGTTTACCATCCTTTCTGCCACTGCTCATAATCTTATATCCTGTGAGCAAAAATTTCCTATTGCTCTTTAACCATGTTGCAGAAAATGTAGCAATATGTATTTTGTTTTCAAATAAAACATGTTCAATACACCTTTTGTTATGTATAAAAAACCTACAGTTGAATTGTAGAATATTAGTTTCAATAAAATAACTTGTAATTGTGATTATATAATTTTCTTTTGCACATCTTTCATGCGCTCATTAACCTCAATTTCTCCTATTATTGTCTATATCTTTCTCACTACCCGTTCTATTCAATATTTCTCTTATCATTTTGTTGATGCCTTCATCATTAGGTTTGTAGTGTTTTTTAACTTGTTTGATAAATATATTCAGAAATTTATCCACATGTTCTTCTTTCTCTTTGTCTTTGCCAACAACTTCTTTCCTTGTGACTAATTGATATCTTTCTCTAATATCTTCCTTATGCGTATGTACCTTCTTCCTTTTACTTGTTTCACCCTTTGATTAGAGATTTTTTTGCTTAGATTAGTTAGGTTAGCTCTGGTTATTGTGGCATATTTGTTGTTTTTTACAATTGATCTTGCTTTGTAAAAAGCTAAGTTCTGTGTTGCCGTTTTTGCATATATTTTCTTATATTTAATAAATAATGGGCATTCCTTGTTATATGCTGCATGTTTACTATAACACAAGCAGCATTTAAATCGTCTGTATTTATGCATTCTTGTAAGGCATGATTTTCTGCGCATTTTAGACATCTTACCTTTTCTCGACATTGATCAGGAACGTGTCCGAATCTCCAACATTTGTGGCACTGGATTACTTTTTTCACAAATGGTGTTACTGGGCATTTAACAGAGTGGATCGCTATTTTGTCCCTTTAAATGTGAGTTTAACACATTGAGATTTGTATGTCCTATGATTTTCTTATTTTTGATATTA